ATCATCATCATCATCATCACCATCCGTCATAATCATCAGTATCATCATCAGCAGCAGCAGCATGATCATCGTCATCAACGTCATCAGCATCATCATCATCATCATCATCATCATCATCATCATCATCATCATCATCATCATCATCATCATCATCATCATCATCTTCATCGCCATCATCAGTCTCATCAGCATCACCACCAACAACAACAACAACGGCAGTCCCCAACCTCGAGACACTAGGTATCACGCATTGCTGTTCCATGCCAATCGCCACTCAAAATGCTGGCCTGGCACGGTGGTGGGAGCTGCCGCAAGCAACTGGATATTTTCAACAGCTCCCTGGATGGTAAGCGGCCCTGTTTCGAAGTCAGAGTGCCGCAGAAAAACGGTGTCCAACATTTTGATCGCAAGCATGACCGTGCTCAGCGTCTTGCTATCGCATGAAACTTCCGTGCGTGTTATCACCCTGAATCTAGAACGTCCAAGCAGCTACGCACATCGTTCTGAGGCGGCTCCATTTCGAAATCGTGTTGTCGCTTCGGCGCCGCACGCATGTTCTTAAACATGTATACAGATGATGTGTTCCGGGATGACAGCGGACCCCGTGTACAACCGAACATGCCAGCTAGGCAGCAATGTTGTCCTGCGAACGTGGCCGACACTCCGGCCCTAGATTCGCAAACAGACAGGAACGCAGCCGCGAGTCGAAACATTCTCACGTATCTCCTGCTGGACTCTGCAGAGCCCTGGCTTGCAGTACCCTGGCTGCCGGGGCGCTGAGCTGCACGGTCGAGGTAGTAGTCTGGCTGTCGAGGCTGTCCGTGAGCCCGACGGGACCCTTACCGTTCCAGTCTTGCCATTTCCCCCGACAGGGGCACGAATGCGACGACGACGACGACGACGACGACGCGACGACTTCGGGAAGAAGAAACAGCGGTATAAGCACAATTTGTCTGAACTCCGCGCGAGTTTCTTGGATCGGCGCTGGCGCCTCCTCCCTGGCGGGGGGGGGCCAGCGCCGATCGAAGAAATCCGCGCAGGCCTCCGAAGCTTTCTGTTCATGCCGGCGTCTTCCCTGCGACTACAATTCCAGTCTTGCCACTTCCGGCGGCGGCGCCCACAAGTGAAGGCGCGAGGGGGACGGGCTTCTTAGGAGGCGGGGGGGGGCCTCTTAGAAGGCAGGAGCCCTCTTGGAAGGCCCTGAAGGCCTTCAAGCGAGCTTCTTTGAAGCCTGGCGGGCTTCTAATTAGCCCCTTGCCTTCTTAGCGAGCGATTCGCGCTGCGTGGAGCGCGAAGCGCGAATCACTACGCACACTTTTGCCGCCCACCTGGGAGAGAAAGACGATGATGATTGAAGATGAGAAATGGCGAATCGCGCACCGCGAACGGCGAAAAACTTCTCACCCTCGTGGCGACTCTTGCTTCGAAGCTCCCCCGCCCTCTTAAAAGCCCGCCCCCCTCGCGCCCCCCCTCCTAAGATCCGACGTTGTGGAACAAATGCAAACATCGCAAACACAAAGCACAACGAAACGACGGGAGCCCTGGCAATTTTCGAGCCATCAAGGCAAGATCGCCCGTAGCGTTGGAGGCCTGGAAATTGGCACCAACACCAGCACAGGGGGTTGCCTCCACATGGGAAAGATGATCCTAGATTTCGGTGTTGGTGTTAATTTTTCGGTCACCTTGGAAGCCATAATATTACCACCATCATCGAGATCGGGATCTTCGTCCCTCGGTGGAGGCACACCGCCGACATTGGTGTTGGTGTCAACCTGGAGGCCCGCGATAGCGAGCAACGCCAGGATCTCATGGCCTCAGAAGCACACCCCCCTCGCGTGGGCTCCGCCACTTCCCGCGGCGGGGCCGCACGGAGCGTCGACTCCACCGGCCTCCCCACGGGTCCCGGCCGGGCCCGCGGCGGGCCTGCGGGGCTCCCCGTCGTTCCCAGGCGGGCGCTGGCCCAGGCAGCCCAGCCGACGGAGGCCTCCTACGGCAGGTTCGTGTCGTGCCGACCCCAGCGTTGGTTTTTGACACCGCAGGGATCGTTCAACCTTGAACGATCGGCCGCTGCCGCAACGTCCGATCGTTCAACATCGATCGATTCTGGGTCGCCGGCGGCGTTCAACCTTGAACGCCCGCGCTGGGGTCGCCGCTGGTCGACACGACGCAAACCTACCGTACATGGGGTCCAAAGTCGGAGGGCTGCGCCGCAACGCCGATGCATCGCCGATGCATCGGCAACGTCGGCGATGCATCGGCGACGTCACGTCGCGTCGCATCGCCGATGCATCGGCGGCAGGGCGTGATCCTCCGACCCCATCTGCTCGGAAGGCCATTGGGGAGGCCCAGAGTTGAGGCACGAGGGGCTCCAGATCCAAACTCGAAGCTGAGAGTCCCAGCGATGCGGCCTTTTTTCATCGTGGCGTCTCTCTGTCCTTGCGGCCTCTGGCGGCCGCTTCCGGACCCAAGGACCATCGAAAACGGACCCAGGGGCGAAAGACTATCCCATGGAAGGCGCCCAGAGCTCTGGGGCCGTGGTGGTTGGAGACAGCATGCAGCAGGCCTGCGAGGAGCTCGTTGTGCCGCCGCAGCGACAGCGACCGCGCACCCGCGCCCGTAGCGGGGGCGGGGTCCCTGCCAGGCGAGCTGCACATCACAGCACAAAACGGGGCTGACGAGGGCCCCAGGAGGGACCGAGGTTCGGGGCTCGAGGGACCCAGGTTCGGGGCTCGAGGGACATAGGTTCGGGGCTCGAGGGACATAGGTTCGGGGCTCGAGGGACCCAGGTTCGGGGCTCGAGGGACATGGGTTCGAGCACCCTGCTCCCTCGCTCGCCTGGTGCCTCTTGCCTCCTGCCCCCTGCCCCCGTCCGTAGCCATGTTTGGCTCAGGGCTTTCCCTCGGGACGCTCGGACACACGGCTTTCTGATACCGTATGTTGTATCGCAGGCGGGCCTGGGATGGAGGCCATCCTCGCTCGGCTGCCCCAGCTGCCCACGGCCCAGGCGGCGCTTGGCGCTGCCTTGGCGGCGCTGGTGGACGCAGAAGGGGCGCCAAAGCGGTGGCGACAGCTGTTGCTGCTGCGGCACGTGGAGCTGCTCAAGGGGCTGCTCAATGTGAAGACGGTGCTGGTCCTAATGCGGCTTCGACGCAGACGTCGTTGATCGTGGACCTCGAGAACGTCTTACGCACGAGTGGCTCGGAGGCGGGCCTGGCGGAGAAGCCCACCATTACACGTCGGTCGGAAGAAGTAGGTAGAAACATGAAGTAGGAATGCGGATTTAGTAGATTGGGTCCAGGCCCCCCAGAGAATAACAAAACAAAGCTAAAGCGTGTCGATTCTTGAAGTAGGAAGGCGCTTGAAGTAGATTGGGATCTGGGAATCCAAAAACACCTACGTTCAACGACCGGCGTGTACCAAGGCCAAGAGCGAGCTCCGTGATGCTCGGACCTCGCGGCAGGGCTCTGGCCAGCAAAGGTGGGGAGGCCGAGCAGGGCCCGCAGCACGCAGGCCCATCCTGAGACAGCCTTCGTGGACGACATTCGCGTTGCCTTCGAGGAGGAGGAGGAGGAGGAGGAGGAGGAGGAGGAAGGCAGCGCAAATATTGAATCGCCTGAGTTGAAACGCCCGAGTTGAAGCGGAGAGGCGATGCTTGCCGTGCTTCGCCCGCCGACGCGACTGCAAACAAGTCCAAAGGCGGGCGAGCAGGCCGCCTCGGCCGGAGCCCAAGAGGCAAGGCCTGGTTAGAAGCATGGCCTCGCACACTACAGTCAACCCGTATAGTAAGGATGCGCGGTAAGGATGCAAGGGCCTTGGAGGGCCATGCGAATGTTTTTCGAACGAGGTTGGCCAGCGAAAGGTACCAAGGATGGGCCGAAGGGACACGGATGCAGGGGTAGCCTTGGAAAGGTTGCCCATCCTTACTATGCGGGTTGACTGGACTGCTTCGCCATCCGCCACACCCTCCAGGCGGAGAAGCAGACGGACCAGTTCGAGAACGGCGACAAGGAGGAGATCGGGAAGAATGTGCAGGACACCCTCTGCTGGATGGACAAGACCGATCTCTCCAACGATGGGGAGTGCCAGAGCAAGCGGCACAAGCTTGAAGGCATCGTCAACCCCATTATGAAGGCAGGGGAGAGCTACTGCTATAACATGCGCAACACCCTGCAGGACCTGAAGCTGCAGGACAAGTTCGAGTTCAGCGACTTGGACACCTTTGGGAAGGCGGTGCAAGCTACCCTGCATTGGATTCACTTGCCCGAGGCCGCTGACGTGGTCGCTCTCGTGGGTAAGCACAAGGAGCTGGAGGCGCCATCGCCAACCACCTTGTCGACAAGGTGACGAAGGCGCAGAACAAGCAGACGGAGCCGGAAGGCATCGTCAAAGCCAAGGCGATGCACGTGTCCCAGAACTATGGCTGCAACGACGAGTCGGCCAGTGTGGTGGCGGTGCAAATTGGCGCTGGTGCCGTCTTAGAGGCTGCTGCGAAGCGCGAGTGCATCGGCATAATCGACCAAAGCTTGCTGGCACCAAGCACAGATGCGTCACGAGCCACGCTGTTCAACATGACCCTGGACAAGCTGCGGTGGATCGCCCGTACGGCCCAGAAACCGCCATGATTGCCAGACCATTAGTAGTATTGTCAGTGCGTCTACCGCAATGCTCGGCGGTGCTTGGAATTGCCACGAGGTTTCGTGGCTACCACCCCGTGGTGCACGTTTTTGGCCGCTGGTTTCGACTCGGAATGCTGGGTGTCCTGCCTGGGCCCTTTGGGGCCCTGGCCTGCTGCCGGTCCCTCTCCTGGTGTCTGGGGCTTCGGTTGGGCCGTCCCCGCGGGGGTGGGGCGTGCGCCGTCTGTAACCCGTCGGGGTTGCGGAAGTGGCACGTTCCTGTCGGTGCCCTGGCGTGGGTCCTCGTCGCAGTGCGCTGGGTCCCTGGGTTGCCGTCTGTGTACGAGGTGGGTCGGCTCTGTACCCGCGGGAGGCGCCCCTGCTGATTCATACCCGTCCTGGAGCTGCCGCGCTGGATGCTCTTTTCGTGCGGAGGGGTAGGATTCTCATTCTACACCTCTGCTGTCTCTGTTCTTATGTAGCATGGTGCCAGTCAGAGACCCGCACCGCTGATAGCTCGCTCGCTCGCTTGCCTCCTGCCTCCCCCCTCCTCCCTCCTGCCTCCATCCAGGGGGAACAAAATAGCATCGATTACGCTACTCCCTGGGCCTCTCTCCCAGGGTACGCACTGACCACAATTTCGGAGAGACATCAGCCGTGGCGACGTGGACGAGCAGCGGTATCGGTACCTGCTCCTCCCCTGGCCTCCCTCCCTCCCCCCTCCCCCCACTCCTCCCCGCTCCGCCGGGTCCTCGAGCATCCAGACCTCGCGGCGGCCGTACCACTCCGACACGCAGAGGGGGCCAGCAAACCGCCACTGCTTGCCCGACGCCTGAGATCGGCGACGCGCCGCCCCGCCCTGCGCCCCTCCCGCTTTCGCCTGCTCCACCTCCTCGAGGTGAAGGAGGAGAAAGGGGAGGAGGACGAGGTTGGCCTCTCGCGCGCGCCCAAGAGGGGGCACGAGGTCAAGAAGCGGAAGCAGGAAGAGGAGGACGACGACGAGGAGACGAGGAGAAGGAAGCGAAAGGGGGAAAGGAAAGACGAAGAGGTGGAGGAGGGAGACGGAATTCGTCGTCATCATCATCATCATCATCATCATCATCAGCATCATCATCATCATCAGCATCACCACCACCATCACCACTACCATCACCATCACCATCGCCATCGCCATCACCATCACCATCACCATTGCCGACATCACCATCACCATCACCATTACCAAAACCATCAACATCACCATCATCATCACATCCTAGGAAACATCATCAACATCACGATCACCACCACAACCATCAACCCCAATACCATCACCATCACCATCATCATCATCATCATCATCATCAGCAGCATCATCATCATCATCAGCATCATCAGCACCATCACCATCATCATCATCAGAATCATCATGATCATCAGCATTATAATATTTATCAATATTCTTACCATCATCAGCAGTAGCATCATCATCACCGTGATCATCAGCAGCATCATACTTATCATTTGCATCATCATCATCATCAGCATCATCATCATCATCAGCATCAGCATCAGCATCAGCAGCATCATCAGCATCATCATCATTGTCGTCGTCACCGTCATCGTCAAGATCGTCGTCGTCCTCCTCCTCCTCGTCCTCACCACCACAATCATCATCAAATCATCAGCAATAACAGCATCATAAGCATGGTCATCATCAGAATCAGCATCATCATCAGCAGCATCATCATCCTAATCAGTATCATCATCATCCTCAGCATCAGTATCAGTGTCCTCATCATCATCAGCAGCAGCATCATAGTCATCATCATCATCATCATCATCATCATCATCATCATCATCATCATCATCATCATTGTCCTTTTCCTCCTCCTCCTTCTCCTCATCAACATCCTCCTCCACCTCCTCCTGCTCATCATCCCCTTCTTCTTCATCGTCCTACTCCCTCCTCCCTCCTCCTCCTTCCTCACTCATTCCGCCTACCACTTACCGTCTCCTTCCGCCTACCGTGTTGCGCTTATCATTTTCGTCACCTCCACATTCATGATCATGACCCCCGGTAGAATCACTCCCGCCATCGTTATCATCCCCCTCCTCCTCCTCCTCATCATCCTCCTCATCATGATTGTCATCAGCATGAGCATCCGCATCATCATCAGCATCAGCATCATCATCATCAGCAGCAGCAGCATCGTCAACATCATAACATGCCGAATCATCATCAACATCATCATCATAATCATCATCAGGATCAGCATCATCATCAGCAGCATCATCAGTATCATCATCAGCTTCACCATCATCAGAATCAGCAGCATCATCAGCAGCATCGTCACAATCATTAGCATCACACCATCACCAGCATCAGCACAATCACCAGCATCATCATTATCATCATGATCATCATCAGCAGTAGCAGCATCAAAGTCAGTATCATTACCATCAGCAGCAGCACCATCAGCAGCATCAACGTCAACATCAACAGCAGCATCATCAGTATCATCATCATCATCATCATCATCATCATCATCATCATCATCATCATCATCATCATCATCATCATCATCATCTCATCATCATCATCATCATCATCATCAGCATCATCATCATCATCATCATCATCAGCATCATCAGCATCATCATCATCAGCAGCATCATGAGCAGCAGCGTCACCATCATCATTATCGCAATCAGCATCATCATCATCATTACCATCATAAGCAGCCACATCATCGGTAGCGTCATCGTCATCACCATCAGCATCATCATCAACATCAGCACCAGCATCAGCAGCAGCATCAGTAACATCATCCTCATCAGCATCATCAGCATCAGTGTCATCAGCATCAGTATCATCATCAGCAGCATCAGCAGAAGCATCATCATTATCGGCATCAGCATCATCATCAACAGCAGCATCACCATCAGCATCTTCATCAGAATCATCAACATCATCCCCATCAGTTTCCTCCTCCTCCGCATCATCACAGCATCAGCATTATCATCAAAATCAGCATCATCAGCAGTAGCAACAGCAGCATCATCAGCATAATACTTATCAGCACCATCCCCATCCGGTTCCTCCTCCCCCTCAGCATCATCAACATCCTCCGCCTCCTTCTCCTCCTCCATATCCCCCTCCTCCTCCTCCTCCTCCTCCTCCTCCTCCTCCTCCTCCTCCTCCTCCTCCCTTCTCCTCCTCCCTCCTCTCTCCTGCCGCCCACCGCTTACTATCTTCCTCCCAGTCCCCTCTTTCCGCTTCCTACCCCCTTCCATGCCTCCCTCTTCCATGCCTCCCCCTCCTCCTCCTCCTCCTCCTCCTCCTTCCTGTCATCCTCGTCGAGGCCCACCCTCTCCTCATCCTCCTCCTCCTCTTCCTCCTCCTCGTACGCATCCTCCTCTTCCTCCTGCTCCTCGTCCATTTCCTCCGACATATGATCTCCTCCTCCTCCTCCTCCTCCTCCTCCTCCTCCTCCTCCTCATCATCATCATCATCATCATCATCATCATCATCATCATCATCATCATCACCATCATCAGCATCATCATCATCATCAGCAGCATCAGCATCATCATCATCATCATCAGCATCATCATCATCAGCTTCATCATCAGCATCATCATCATCAGCATCATCATCATCATCGTCATCATCATCATCAGCATCAGCAGCAGCATCATCATCATCAGAAGCCGAAGCATCGACATCATCAGCTGCATCACCATGCTCATCAACATCAGGACTATCATCAGCAGCATCCGCATCAGCATCAGCATCAGCATCAGCATCCGTGGCAGCATCATCGTCGTCATCAGCACCATCATCATCATCAGCATCAGCATCATCATGATCATAAACATCAGCATCATCATTACCATCAAAGCATCACCATCATCTCATCTCGCCAGCATACCAATAATACTAGCAATCCCAATGATACTACTAGCGGTCATGATACAAGTAAGAATAGCAATCATCATCAGCAGCAGCATCATCAGCATCATAGTCATCAGCCTCAATGATCATCATCATCAGCAGCAGCATCATCAGCAGCATTGCCATCGTCATCATCATCACCACCACCATGGTCACCATCAGCCTCATCGTCATCATCATCAGCAGCAGCATCACCATCGTCTTCACCATCAGCATCATCCGCATCATCATCATCATCATCATCATCATCATCATCATCATCATCATCAGCAGCAGCAACATCATCATCATCAGCATCATCATCATCTTCCCTCCGCCTCGCCCTGCCCTTGCAAAGCTGGCATCGCAGGCGAGAGTATCTCACAAGACTTAAAGCAGGTAAGCGGCCGAAGCAGCTCAGCTGAACAGCTTGTAAATTACTTGCCGATCACTACGAAGAACAGCTCTTATGAGTGTAACCACCCAATCATCAGCATCATCATCATCATCATCATCAGCATCATCAGCATCAGCATCAGCACCATCAGCAACATCGTCGTCACCATCATAATCATCATGATCGTCGTAATCATCGTCATCAATCCTCATCGTCACCATCAGCATCAAAATCATCATGAACACCACCATCAACATCGTACCATCAGTACCAGCATCACCACAACAATATCATCGCCAGCATCATCAGCACCATCCACATCATCATCATCATCATCATCATCATCATCATCAGCAGCAGCAGCAGCAGCAGCATCAGCATCCTCGTTGTCGTCATCACCATCGCCATCATCATCGTCGTTCTCGACGTCGTCGACGTCGTCATCGTCGGCGTAGTCGTCGTCATCACCATCGTCATCGCCATCACCATCATCATCACGCTTCTCCTCCTCCTCATCTTCATCATCCATCCCTCTGCGTTATGAAAACTCCCTCCGGTCGCACCCTCTGGTCCTTTCGCTTGAAACGTACTGTCAACTGACTGCCCTGAACCGTGCAAACTCCAACACTCACAAGGATCGAAGCCGGTGGCTTCCAAAATGCGATTATCGCCCTAGCGTTAAGTCGGGCGTGTCCCCCATACAGGGGGATTTTGGGCAAATAGTAAAACATAATTCAAAGATACCCCCCCAAATGGGCAAAAAAAGTCAAAAAAAAAACGTTCCTGTACTATTCTCTTACTATTTTTGAATAGTCCTCCTGTAGAGGGACAGGCCCGACTTACCCCTAGCGATGCGCACATCTGCTGCACAAGATTCAAGCTGTTACAAAGGTGGATCCACCTTTGTAACGGCTTGAATCTTGTCTTCAAAATGCGGCTCTCCACCGAGCGCCGCGCACAGTCTACGCCGCAGCACGGCAGGAGGCGATCCGCACGGGCGCTCGACTTGTCGGGGACACGCGACAAATGAGCTGTCCGGCTGCAAGAGATACGCCCCCCGAGATCCCTCAGCTCAGCGATCTGACCCCTCAGCTCGGTGTGCCAGAACACCGAAACCCATCAGGTCAGTAATCCTCGCCTCCCCAGTCGCCATGGAGACGCTCGAGGGGCCAGATCGCTGAGCTGAGGGATCTCAGGGGGCGTAAGAGAGGGCGTGCGGGGGGAAGGAGCGGCCGCAGAGGATAGGAGGGAGGAGGAGGGCACTCACGGCTGAAAGAGTTTCAGGATGAGCGCGCCTGAGCGGCCAGCCGGGGCTGAAGTGACCTGGCAGTGAACGCGGGACGGCATCACGGCCACACCGAGGGACCGAAGCCAGGGCTGCCGCTGGAAGTGCGAAGAGCAAGGTGAACCAGCACAACAGGAAAAGGGCCTGCTGGACTGCAGGAGCGGGAGCATCAGGTTGTTCTTCACGTTGCCGCGAACGTCAGGCGCTGATGCAGGGGACTGGCGCCAGCCAGATGCTGGACCGGGATGGTCCAGGCGAAAGCACGAGAAGCCCGCACGGGGCCGCGCCGAAACGCGTGGGCTGCAGCCAAAGTCTGCCAGAGCCGGCAACCAAGATGCTGACGACTGCCGAGGCGGTGCCAGCAGAAACTGGAAGCGCCAACTGAGAGCGCGCGGCGGCGGCGGCCCAGGCGGCGCCACGGCGGCGCGAGAGGTGGGGAGCAGGAAGGCAGCAGAGGAGGGAGAGGGAGGAGAAGCGGCCCGCCCGAACGGTGACAGCATCCAGCAGCTATACGGAGGGGTGGATGTGCGCCGCCTGAATTCGCCTGCACGGCTTCCGGCAAATTACCGATAAGGTGGCTGGCTCGTTTCCAAAATGTGTTTCTAGCTTGAGACGTCCTCAACAAAGTTGACCCGAAGTTCTGCGGATCGCGCAAAAACGCCACGGCTGTGGCGGTCTGCCGAGAAGGCCTGGGGAGGAGGAGGAGGAGGATGAGGAGGAGGAGGAGGAGGAGGAGGAGGAGGAGGAGGAGGAAGGAGGAGGAGGAGGAGGAGGAGGAGGAGAGCAACAGCTACGCGGATGAAAAGCGGATGCGTTTCACAGCGGGGCGGTCGCTGGACGGTTCCTGGAAAAGTATAGCCATACCTCGGTGCGCCTCCCCTTGGCCAGGAGCATGGGCGGTGAACACGTTTCGGGGTGGAAAGGACTGTATAGGGACGTGTGAGGAGGGGGCTTCGAACAGGAGGGTGCACTGCAGAATCGTTGATGCGTCCTGGATTTACTCTGGGCCTCCTCCTCCTCCCCATCCTCCTCCTCCTCCTCCTCCTCCGCCGCCTCCTCCTCCTCCTCATCCTCCTCCTCCTCCTCCTCCAAGCAAGACGGCGCAGCCTCTCGCCTGCATCGTGATTCCCCCCTCGGCCCTCCCTCCTCCCTACCTTGTCATCCTCCGCCTCCACCCTCTCCTCCTCCTCCTCCTCCTCCTCATCCTCCTCCTCCTCCTCCTCCTCCTCCTCCTCCTCCTCTCTCTCCATCCCTCCCTCCCTCCCTCCCTCTCATCGTCCTCCTCTGCTCCTCCTCCTCCTCCACCTTCTCCTCCTAATCCTCCTCCTCAGCATCTTCCTCCTTCTCTCGGCTGGGCGGCGCAGCCTTTGCCGCCGCCGACAGAAACGCGTTGGCAGTCCCGTACGCGTCGTGGACATGCGAGATCCACGGGCGGTCAGGCAGCTCGATGAAGTGCCTCGGAGGGGCGGAGTGTTTTGCCGCAGATCCTCTTTGCCAATAACGAATCACTGTTAAGACGTTTAGGGTCATCGTCCTCCTCGCTGTCCTCCTTCCCCTCCTCCCCCTGCTCCGCTCCCTCCACCTCGTCTCCCTCGTCCTCCTCCCCCTCCTCCTCCTCCTCCAGCTCTTCCTCCTCCTCCTCCAACTTCTCCTGCTCTTCCTCCTCCTGCTTCTCCTCCTCCTCCTTCTCCTCCTCCTCGTCCTCCGCATCTACCCCCTCCTCCTCCTCATTCTCCTCGTTCTCCTCTCCTCCTCCTCCTCTTCTTCCTCTTCCTCCTCCTCCTCCTCCTCCTCCTCCTCCTCCTCATCCTCATCCTCTTCCTCCTCATCCAAACCAAATTCAACTCCAACTCATCCTCCTCCTCCCCCTCCTCCTCCTCCCCCTCATCCTCCTCCTCTTCCTCCTCCTCCTCCTCCTCCTCCTCGCCCTCTTGTTCATCCCGGTACTGTGTCTCTATATGCTAGCCCCCCCCCTTCATTTGCAGCATACCATCCTCACATGCATCATCATGATCCCCAACTCCATCCTCACCCTCATCCTCATCATCTTGCTCAGGCTCCTCATCATCACGATCATCAGCAACAACAACATCAGCAGCCGCAACATCACCACATCAGCATCATCATCATAATCAGCATCAGCATCATCAGCATCATCATCAGCAGCATCATCATCAGCATCAGCAGCAGCATCTTCATCATCGTCAACAGCAGCATCATCATCATCATCAGCATCATCAGCATCATGATCAGCAGCATCATCATCAACATCGGCATCAGCATTTGCTTCGAGTCTTCCCCGAAGGCAGGAAGGGCTCCCAGAAGGCCAGGAGGCTTCTAAGAAGCCCAGTTGGGCAGTGCCCCCTACGTCCCTCATCAAGGCAACTCGTGTGGGCAGTGCGGGTCACTGCATCATCAGCATCATCGCCATCGTCACTATCAGCATCAGCATCAGCATCAGCATCAGCATCATCATCATCATCAGCATCATCATCATCAGCATCATCAGCAATGCCATCATCATCATCATCATCATCATCATCATCATCATCATCATCATCATCATCATCATCATCATCATCATAATCATCATCATCATCATCATCATCATCATCATCATCATCATCATCATCATCATCATCATCATCATAATCATCAGCATCATCAGCATCATCAGAATCGGCATCATCAGCAGCAGCATCATCATCATCAGCAGCATCAGCAGCATCATCAGCAGCATCATCAGCATCATCAGCATCATCGTCATCATCATAATCATCGTCAGCATCATCGTCATCATCCTCATCACCATCATCAGTATCAGCATTATCATGATCATCACCACAAACATCAACATCAGCATCAGCAACATCAGCCTCATCATCCATGGCATCATCAGCAACAGCATCAGCTTCATCTACGTCGTCAGCATCATCTTCATCGTCATCATCACCAGCATCAGCATCGCAAACATCATCATCATCATCAGCATCATCATCAGCAGCAATAGCATCAACATCATCATCGTCGTCATCGTCGTCAGCATCATCATCGTAATCACTGTCAGCATCATCAGAATCACATCATCCGCATCATCATCAGCAGCATAATCATGATCGTCATCATCGTCCTCATCAGCATCGTCATCGCATCATCATCAGCACCATCACGTTCACCATCAGCATCATCATTGCCGTCGTCATCGTCATCAGCAGCATCATCAGCATCAGCAGCATCAGCATCAACATCAACACCATCATCAGTATCATCATCGTCATAATCATCATCACCGGCATCAGCATCAGCGTCATCAACAACAGCAGCAGCATCAGCATCGGCATCTGTATCAGCATTCCCGTCAGCATCATCGTCGGTATCGTCAACATCATCAGTATCGTTCGCATGTTCGTCATGGGCATCATCATCGGCAGCATCATCACCAGCATCCTCATCATCATCAGCATTCAAGTCACTACAACCACCACCATCAGCATTAGCATCTCCATCAGCATCACTAGCATCAGCATCAGCATCGGCATTATCAGCATCAGCAACAACAACAATGACAACAACCACCACAGCGATCAGCATCATCATCGTCAGCATCATCATCATCATCATCATCATCATCATCATCATCAGCATCATCATCATCATCATCATCATCATCATCATCAGCATCATCATCATCAGCATCATCATCAGCATCATCATCATCAGCATCAGCATCAGCATCAGCATCATCATCAGCATCGTCATCATCATCATCAGCATCATCATCATCATCATCATCATCACCATCACCATCACCATCATCATCATCATCATCAGCATCATCATCATCATCATCATCATCATCATCGTCATCATCATCGTTATCATCGTGGTCGTCGTCGTCGTAATCGTCGCCATCATCCTCGTCGTCGTCGCCATCGCCATCGCCATGGACATAGTCATCATCGTCGTCGTCGGTCTCGCCGTCGTTGTCGCCGTGGTCATCATCCACGGCATCGTTGTTAGTCGCAGCAGCAGAATCGTCGTCACCTAAATCGATGTTAACAGCATCAACATCATCGGATTCGTAATCGTCATCATCGTCATCATCGTCATCATCGTCATCACCGTCATCGCCATCATCGTCATCATCCTCACACTCGTCAGCAGCATCATCGTTAGGTCAGCAACATCACGATCAGAATCATGATCGTCCTCACTATACTCGACATCATCATGGTCACCATTCTCAGCATCGTCAGTATCATCGACATCGCCATCACCAACATCAGCAGCATCAGCATCAGCATCAGCATCATCATCACCATCAGCATCGTCATCAACAGCATCATCATCATCATCATCATCATCATCAGCAGCAGCAGCAGCAGCAGCATCAGCATCATTATCATCAGCATAATCAGCATTAGTTTCGAGTCTTCTCCAGAGACAGGAATGGCTTCCCAGAAAGGCAGGAGGCTTCTAAGAAGACCCGCTGTCTTCTGAGAAGGCCTGCCGCCCCCCACTTCCCTCACCTATCATCATCATCATCCTCATCAGCATCAGCATCATCATCATCATTATCATCATCATCATTATCATCATCATCATCATCATCACCATCATCACCATCATCACCATCATCATCCTCATCATCATCGTCATCATCATCATTATCATCAGCATCATCAGCATCATCATCGTCATCATCATCATCAGCAGCAGCATCATCACCATATCGCCCCTTCGCTCTCCCTTCTTCGGGGTCGGCGGAACGGCGGGAGCCGCGAGCCTCTAGAATCAATCAGTGCGTGACTGGGGGAACAAAAAAGATACCGATACCGCTTCTCCCCAGATCTCTGTGCTGCTACTCTCTGTTGCCGTGACGCCGTGCTTTCTGTGTCTATTGCTCCTCGGAACAATGATGGCATTGCAACGGCAGGCACGCAAGCCCTCCTCAGGCGCATCTCAGTGCCGACCATGGCAGCTCAGAAGCGGTCCCTCCCTGGTCGCCCTCCCTGAGGGGCAACGACAGGGGGGGGATGGGCATAGGTGGGGATGCATCGACCTGGAATCGGCGATACATCGTCGATAGATCGGCGATAGGACCCCGATAGTGAATTCGCACCTTCCTGGGCGGGGTGGGGCTATCGGGCCCCTATCGGCGATCAATGGGCAATTGGGGGTCGATGCATCCGCCCCTATGCCATCCCCCCCTATCGTTGCACCTGACTCCGGAGGTCCACACGCACCAGTTGTCCAAGCTGCGTCCGAAGGCCAACTACCGCTGTCTGCACTCGCCCTCCTCTGATGAGCCTGTTTTCCACCACCACCACCACCACCACCAGAAGTTGGAGGGGGAAGGAGGAGGAGGAGGAGGAGGGCGAGAAGGAGGATGAGGAGGAGGAGGACCTTCCCCCCTCCAACTAACGGTGGTGGTGGTGGAAAACACGCCCATCATCCTCTATCGGGGGCGCGCAAACATGGATTAGCGATCAATGGATTTGGCGCGCGGTCGCCAAATTCATGGATTTGGCGAGGTGCCCTTCCCAAAATGCGGCCGATGCCGCCTCGTTCGGCGGCGGGAATCCGCGATTTCCCATGGAAACGGAACCCGTCGCTAATCCACGCTCCCTTAGTCCATGTTTGCGATCGCCTGACTCTAGCGCACTGTTTCCCCTGGCGCCTTCCCTTTTGGCATCCCCCGGTCCCCGCGCCTGCGGCGCGACAAAGCGAAGCACTCTGGGAAGAGCAAGCAGCACGAGCGGGGGGAGGGGCGCGGGAGGGGGGAGAGACGGAGGAGGAAGGGCGGAGGAGGAAGGAGGGAGATAAATCATAGCGGCTGGCTTGGACTTTCGCCCTTTCGGCAGGGTTGTGCCAGTCATTGCGAGCTGGTGGTCATGTTGCTTCCATCCCTGCCCCGCCCATAGCAGCCCCTTCGATCATGGAGAGAAGGCAGGAGCAGGAGGAGGACGACGAGGGAGGAAGGAGGAGGAGGACGAGGGAGGGAGAGGACGGGAAAGGAGGAGGAAGAGGAGAAAGAGGGAAGGGGCAGGACCCACAGGTCTCCCAGAGGCCTCTGGAGGACCCTCTGGGCTCCTGGAGGCAACACACAATATCGGCAAGCGCAAACTCCAAAAAGATCAGAGGACTGAAACGACGTGGACGGGGAGTGGACTCGAGTAGACTGAAACTGGGGTGGCTTCTACTCCATTCTATACTCTATTCTGCCCGACTCAGATCTACAGTCTACCTTACTCTACCCCCTTCTGCTCTACTCTACCCCAACATACTCCCTACCCTAAGCCTACCCTGCTCTACTCTGCACTATTCGACCATGTTATATTAGATTCCTAATCTAGTTTACTATACTCCTATTCAACTCCACCCTACTACACTATCATATCCTCTACTCTACTACTCCACCCTGCTCTACTCGACTCTGATCTGCTCTACTCTACTTTATTCCCTACCTAGGCTCTGCCTAGAAGGGTTCTTACTCTCTTTCTTAAAGGGGCGGGCAGTGGAAACCGCCCCGGGTGGTTCCCCCAGTATCCGCCCCGCGGTTCCCCCAGTTACGTCCCCTTAGCTTAGCGTTGCTTATCTCATCTTAGCTCAGCTTGTTTCATCTTAGCTTAGCTTAGCTTCATCTTAGCTCAGGTTTGTCTTAGCTTAGCTTACCTTCATCTTAGCTTCGCTGAGCTTTAGCATAGCAGAGCACAGCATAGCATAGCATAGCGTAGCATAGCATAGCGCAGCATAGCAGATCATAGCATAGCCCAGCATAGCATAGCATAGCGCAGCATAACGTAGCACAGCATAGAATAGCGCAGCACAGCACAGCACAGCATAGCACAGCGCAGCATAGCATAGCATAGCATAGCATAGCATAGCAGCAAGTCAAAGGCAAAGCAACAGCAGCGACAGCAAAGCAAAGCACAAGCAACGCACAGCAAAGCAAAGCATTAGCATGGGTGTAATTCCCAACCTAGGTTCTGCCTAGGGGGTTAACTTAGCTTAGCTTAGCTTAGCTTAGCATAGCGTAGCGCTGCATTAGCATAGCATAGCATAGCATGGCATAGCATAACATAGCCAAGCATAGCATAGCATATCGGGCCGGGCGAAAGGGGGGGATAGCAAAGGGGGGGTTGAGAATCAGCTCACGTATCTGATTTTCCCGGCGCCTCCCGGCGCGGGGAGGCGCCCATGTATCGAGGAATGGGCCCGGCGGCGGGGCCGAAACCAGCTGCATGCAGCAGATGTCGTAACCCCCCCTTTCCCAAACCCCCCCTTTCGCCCGACCCGAGCATTGCATAGCATAGCGCAGCATAGCATAGCATAGCATTGAATAGCATAGCATAGCATATCATAGCATAGCATAGCGCAGCTTAGCATAGCAAAATATAGCATAGCATAGCTTAGCATAGCACAGCGCAGCATGCCATAGCATAGTTTAGCATAGCATAGCATAGCATTGCATAGCATAGCGCAGCATAGCATAGCATGGCATAGCATAGTATAGCATAGCATAGCATAGCGCAGCATATTATGGCATAGCATAGCATAGCATAGCATAGCATAGTAACTAATGCTGCTTTCCTAGGGGGTCCAACTTCTAGGTAGGGTCGCACTGGGGTAATTATGTCCATCTCTGATCTACCATCTATCCTACTCTACACTGCTCTGGTCTGCTCTGCCCTACCCGACCCGACCCTGAACTATCATCATATTCGCCGCCGGCCCACCGGGCCAGAGGCGTGCTAAGATCTCCAATAACTGGTTAACAATATGTATAGTTCGCGCGCGCGGGGCGGCTTCTGGATGCTCCAGGACGAAAAGTACCCCGAGCAGGTCACGGCCAGTGCGGCTCAGAGATGGTTTTCCTCCTCGGCGCTGCCTTCCAGGCCTCCCAGAGCGCTCCAGGAACGCGCCAAGAAGGCTCCGAGACGCCCCCGAGACGGTCCAATGGGGCCCCGAGTCGCCGAAAGATTGCTCCAAGACGCCCATGCTGGTCTCCAGACGGCCCTAGACGCCGCCGAGCAGCTCCAAGAGAGCCTCAAGAGGCCCTCCAAGAGGGTCCCTACAAGCAATAATCGTTTGGGAAAACGTACATTTCTGGCATAGACGACGTTCGGAGGTTCACAGCGTCCAAGACTGCCCAAGAGGGCTGCCTTCCAGGCCTCCCAGAGCGCTCCAGAAGGCGCCCAGAAGGCTTGGAGACGCCCCCGAGACGGTCCAAGGGGCCCCGAGTCGCCGAAAGATTGCTCCAAGACGCCCATGCTGGTCTCCAGACGGCCCTAGACGCCGCCGAGAAGCTGCAAGAGAGCCTCAAGAGGCCCTCCAAAAAGGCCCCAACAAGCAACAAATCATCTCAGGTCCTTGGGAAAACGTGCATTTCTGGCATAGACGACGTTCGGAGGTTCACAGCGTCCAAGACTGCCCAAGAGCCCCCAAAGATCGCCCCAAGATGGCCCAACATGCCCCCAGGATGCGCCGAAGAGAGCCCAAGAGGGCTCCAAGACGACCCAAAAGGGCTGCCTTCCAGGCCTCCCAGAGCGCTCCAGGAACGCGCCAAGAAGGCTCCGAGGCGCCCCCGACACGGTCCAAGGGGCCCCGAGTCGCCGAAAGATTGCTCCAAGACGCCCAGGCTGGTCTTCAGACGGCCCTAGAGCCCCCCAAGATCGCCCCAAGATGGCCCAACATGCACCCAAGATGCGCACAAGAGGCCCCAAGAGGGCTCCAAGACGGCCCAAGAGGGCTCCAAGACGCCCCCAGAGAGGGAACTCGAAATGACATTTGAAGCTTTCCGACCCCAGGGGGCCCTGCGAGACCGCCAGCAGGCTCCCAAGAAGCACCCAGAAGTCCCAAGAAGCCCCCGAGAGGTCCAAAATCAGGCCCTCAAGGCACCCAAACGGCCCTGACGAGGCCTCAAGAAGCTTCAAAACTGCCTCCAAAAGGCTTTGGCAACACCTGCCAGGAGACCCCAACACCGCCGCATCAAAGTCCCCTGCGCCCCATCGACGAGCCCCAAAGTGAGCATCCACGACCAGCAAACCCCGACGAAGGCACCCGAAGTCCAACAATGCACCACACAGCTAGCCGCCCCGTGAAAAGCGACCGCTTCCCCTGACAACTCCCAAGAGATCCAGGCGAACAGCCCCGGCATCATGCCCCACGCAACGCCTCAGAAAATGGCCGACGCCCCTGCAGCTCAGCACCGCCAACGACCACTCGGCCAGTCGACGCGGTAGTGCCAAAAAATGGGCCTACCCTACTCTGCTCTACTCCAAACTACTCTACTCTCGCATGCTCTACTCTACTAGATACTCTGCCCTGATCTACCGATACTACTCAACCCTACTCTACCGTCTACCCCACTCTGCTCTGCTCTACTTTACTCGAACCTACCCTACCCTACCCTAACCTGCTCTGCACTACTCTACGCTACCCGGGTAGCAGAGGAAGCCATGCGAGTACAGAGGAAGCTTTGCGGTTACAGAAGCCATTCGGATAGCAGAAGAAGCCAAGCGGCTACAGAGAAAGCCATGCAGAAAACAGAGGAAGCGATGCGAATACAGAGGAAGCCATGCGGAAAGTTAGCCCGTGCAAGGGCAAAATAGGGGGTACAAGGAAGCAGTTGTGTCCGCATTGAGCAAGGACTCATGTAGGCAAGCCTATCTATTTGCAGAAAAACGCTTTGAAGACCCTGGTCCTCGATCGAGGATGGAGGAGACACCCTCCCGCGCCCCGGCACTTTTCCAAGGAGGGAAACCCTGACCAGACAAAAGAAAAAGGGGGGATCTAGGCCTGGTCGGGGCCTGCCCTCGAGGGACTAACCAAACCTGGGGGGCTCTCCGAGGAGGAACGTGAACCGCCGCCAACGAGAACCCATCGGTGAGGGGCTGGCCCCTGGGCGGTGGCACGCCTGAGCGTCATCTTGCATTGGGGTGACGCTCGGGCGTGCCACCGCCCAGGGGTCGGCCCCCCACTGATGGGTTCTCGGTGGTGGTCGTCCGTGTTTCTCCTCCTACACTCCCTCTTGTGTTGTCTGTCGGAGGAGAATCCATTGAGACAACGGCAACTCTCCCGCCAGGCCCAAATCCGCTCAGAATCAGTCCCCGGACCTCTCATGGCGTCCGTCCTGACCAGGTGTTGTTCGAGGCGGGTCCAGCCTCCGGGAGGCCAGAAGAAAATTGGCAAAACGCACGGAAGGGCCGCCGCTGTCTCGACTGGCCCTCCTCCGGAGTCTGGCCAGGGCTTCCTGCTCCCTGATGGGACTGTTCTCAGCGCATTGTTTGCGGGGCCCACACCTATCCACCATCACCAGGCGGACAACACTCGCGCGACCCCCCCTCCCGACAGGGGCCGCCACTGCGTGCCTGCCCCACACGAAAAGTACTTGTCACGTGGTCATGCGCCCAGATGGTGGCCACAGTTGGTCGAGAAGAACTGCTACCAGGCACTCTATTGCCACCTGGGGGCGGTGCATAAGAACGACCGACCCCCCAAAAATTGTCTACACGCTAGCCGAACTACACCCCATGATTAATGTCTTTTACGCATACAACTGCGCGCGCCCAAATGACGCTGAGCAGACGACCTGCTACCATCGCGTGACTTGACACACCTTGCGACCCACCGCCGAAACAATAATGCAATCAACCTCCATGGCGAAAGAACAGCCTGCGCAGTTGGTGTACATCTGTGGGCGATACCTCCTAGCAACGATCAAAGTGAGGCCCGCGTTCAACCACGGTGCGACCAGCAAGCGGCGAAACGCAAAAAGCACAGGCCCACGGCCTGCCAACGTGGCCAGAAAAACATGATCCCGAATCTGGTGGGTGGAGGAGGAGAGCAGAGAAGAGAAAAGGAAGAGGAGAAAGAGGCTGGGCGTTCGAGGCGGCCGAGGGGTCTGAGCTGGATGGGGACCGAGAGAATCGGTCAAGAGGGGGGAGGGGGCAAAAGCAAATCCGCTCAAAACATGTCCCCTGATCCCTCCCGTGATCAGAACTGAGAAGGCTTCGAGCCGCGCCCAGCCCCAGCGATGAGGGGCCCCTTTCTCCGCCCCTTCGGCTGGCCGGAACGATTTCTGGGCCGCCTCGGCCCCCCAGCCAGCTCCAAGCTGGGCGCACCTCGGGGCGAGGCACAGCAGGTTCGCCATGAGGCTCTCCGTGCCCTGGGGGGGGAGGGAAGTTCGGGCGGCCGCGCCTCCCTGCCGCCCACCCCCCCTGCAGACGCCGCGACCTCTTGGCCCCTGCATCCCCTTGCTGCACCTGCTTCTCGCTCCTCCTCCTCCTCCTCCTCCTCCTCCTCCTCGTCGTCGTCACCGTAGTCATCATCAGCCATCCTCCTCCTCCTCCTCCCTCTCCTCCTCCTCCCCCTCCTCCTCGACCTCCTCCTGCTCCTCCGCCTCCTCCGCCTCCTCCTCCTCCTCCTCCTCCTCCTCCTGCTCCTCCTGCTCCTCCCCTATCCTCCTCCTCCTCCTCCTCCTCCTCCTCCTCCTCCTCATCATCATCATCATCATCATCATCATCATCATCATCAGCATCACCATCATCGTCATCATCGTCGTCATTAGCATCACCATCATCGTCATCATCGTCGTCATTAGCATCGTCATCATCATCATCATCATCATCATCATCATCATCATCATCATCATCATCATCATCACCACCACCATCATCATCATCATCATCATCACCATCATCAATCATCATCGTCATAATCCTCATCATGTTCTTCATCATAATCATCATACTCGTCATCAACAACTGCATCAACATCAACAGAATCATCAACATCACCATCATCGTCACCATCATCATCCACAACAACAGAATCAGCATCAGCATCAACATCAGCACCATCACCATCATCATGATCGTAATCATCATCATCATCATCATCATCATCATCATCATCATCATCAGCATTATCATAAGCATCAGCATCAGCATCAGCATCATCAACATCGTCATCATCAGCATCAGCATCAGCACCATCATCATCAACATCATCATCATCATCAGCATCAACATCAGCATCATCATAATCAGTATCCTCAGCAGCATCAGCAGAATGAGCATCATCATCGTCATCGTTGGAATTGTCATCGTCATCGACATCGCCATAGTCATCGGCATCATCATCAGCATCATCAGCATCATTATCATCAGCATCCTCATCATCATCATCATCATCATCATCATCATCATTATCATCATTATCATCATCAACAGCATCAGCATCCTCGTAATAATCGGCATCAAGAGCATCAGCAACATCAACATCATCATCCTTGATATCACCATCAGAATCATCATCCGCAACAGCAGAATCAGCAGGAGCATCATCAGCATCAGCATCACCATCAGCATCACCAGCATCAGCATAATCATCATCATCATCATCATCATCATCATCGTCATCATCCGCATCATCATCATCAACATCATCAGCATCACCCCCACTACCATCATCATCATCATCATCACCATCATCATCATCATCAGCATCATCATCAGCATCATCATCATCATCAGCATCATCATCATCAGCATTATCATCAGCATCATCATCATCCGCATCAGCAGCATCATCATCATTAGCATCATCATCATCATCATCAGCAGCAGCAGCAGCACCATTATAAGCAGCATAATCATCGCAGTAACGGCAGCATCAGCATCAGCATCAGCCGTATCATCATCGTCAATATCGTCACCACAACCAACACCATCGCCATCGCCATCACCATCAGCAGCAGCAGCATCGGCATGGACAGCATCGTCAGCATCATCATGATCAGCATCACCATCAGAATCATCAGCATCGTCATCATCATCATCATCATCATCATCATCATCATCATCATCATCATCATCATCATCATCATCATCATCCATCATCGCCGTCGTCGTCAGCATCAGCATCATCAGCATAAGCATCAGCATGATCACCATAGTCATCGTCATAATTATGGTCATCATCGTCGGTAGAATCATCATGATGAGCATCATCGTTATCGCCAACATCGTTAGCATCCTAATCATCACCATCAGCAGCATCATCATGAGCAGCTTCATCAATATCAACACGACCACACTCGTCATCAGCAGCAGCATCATCACCACAACCACTACCACCAGCATAATCATTGTCATCAGCATCATCATCATCATCATCATCATCATCATCATCATCATCATCATCATCATCATCATCATCATCGTCATTATCATCGTCATTATCCTTGTTATCATCATCATTATCATCATCATTATCCTCATTATCACCCTCATCGATCCTCATCGTCCTATTCCTCCTCCGCACCCGCCGCCTTCCCCTCCTAGGGCCTCTGTCATCCTCACCATCTTCCATCATCCCCCGCAGCGTAAACCCTGCGTAACGTCATATTCGTCCTCGTCCCCCTCGTCCTCCCCCCCTCCTCCTCGACATAATCATCATCATCGTCGTCAGCATCATCATCATCATCATCATCATCATCATCATCATCATCATCATCGTCATCATCATCAACATCATCATCATCAGCAGCAGCATCAGCATCATCATCATCCTCAGTAGCCTCTGCCATCCTCTGTCCTCCACTACGAGGTGAGGAAAGGAGATGCAGGCTACCTGCTTCCAGTAGGCAGTTGGTACTGGCTGCGAAAGCACTGCAAGTTCAGTGCAGAGCAAACTACTCCTGGGAGCCCTGGCACAGCCAATAGTTCGAAAGCTCGTTATTGCGCATATTCGAGCTCTGTTCAATGTCAAATTGCGCGCCGGCCATGCGGTATTGTTCATGCCGTTAGGCAATGTGGTCCTTCAATTGTTGTTGCCCAGCATACGTTGACCGTCATGAGCTGTTCAAAACGCTCGTGCTCGGCGAAGGTGTCCAAGGCGATGCCTGCATGTAAACCATTTGTGCAGCATTGCTGAGTGTATTATCTGGGCTGACTTGTTATTTCCTGCTCTTCTTGATCGGTATCAATCCCACACGGTGGGCAGGAGCGGCAAATCGGAGCCCGTGTGAAAATCAGTCGCCTCGGTGTCCCTCTTGACAACATTACTCATCCTGTTTGGGCTGGGATTGGGCAGCTGTCGATGCATTAGCCATGCGTCGAAAATAAGAATCACTAAAGCGTATTCTGGATTGACCGTAACTGGAGTGTGAAGCCACGGTTACAGGAAGGTTTCTAAGGGGTATGATCTGGCTTTCGGGTGACAGACCGCCAACGGCTGTTCAAGAATAATTGTTCACCGTCGTGGGTCTTCGTCTTCGTGGAGGCCACCGGCAGTGCGTTAGCAAAGATATTGCTTCGAAATCCCAAAGGTCACCCGATGTGTTTTTCAATCAACAGCCCCAGCAATCCCGACCCCTACCCCGGGGGCAACTGCGCGTCCCAGATCGACGCTGGGTTGTCCTGGGACCCGATAGCGAGCACCAAAGCCAAAATCAAAGAAAAACGCCAAGATTGAGAAAAACTCATCGTCGGAGATATGGATCGTTCCGAACCTGAATCCGAATCACCCTACACCATTACCTGCTCCTTCTTCCCTGGTCTTTCCTCATGCCTGCACCTCCCTGTTGCGGATCGTGTCTTTCATCCCCATCCACTTCCTCTTCCTCCTCCTCCTCCTCCTCTGCCCCCCCCCCCCAGGAGGTCCCAGGAGCCTCGAGAAGTCTTGAGAGGTCTCTGGAGGCCCCAGGCAGACCCTCGATACTCGATTTCCTTCCTCTCTTCCCACCCCCGTCTTTCCAACCCCCTTTCTTCCCCTTCGGGGAGCGGCGGCGGCGGCGGGCGGCGCGGCGACGGCGGCGGCGACGGCGGCGGCGGCGCCGGCGCGGCGGCGGGCAGCGGCGGCGGGCAGCGGCGGCGGCGGCGGCGGCGGGGGCGGAGGCGTCGGCGGCGGCGGCGGATTGGCCCCCAGTAGCTGCCCATCCAAAGACGACTGCTGAATATGCTGAGGCTCGGGCCAGAATCGGGCGCTACGTATGTGTTGGCAGGGCGGGTGGGAGTGAGCGAGACGGCTTCTGGGCGGGGCGTTGCGTGCACCCCAGACGCTCTAAGAGGCGTCCGGGACCGCCAAGAGGTCCCCAAGATGCTCCAAGAGGCCTCCACTGGGGGACCCTTCCTCTGTGCGCTGCCCACTTCCCTGATCGAGGCAATTTCTCTGGGCATCGTTTCTGGGTGGGCTGGTGGGGCTATTTTGTTTTACTTGCGGCCCGCAAGGAGAAGTCCAGAGGGCGGAATGAGGCAATGGGGCGCAGAGCCAGATGATTACCATGCAAAGACCACTGGGCGAAGGCCAGCGGAAGAGAAGCTGCCACGGATGGACAACAAACGGGCACAAGCCAGGCCCACAGGTGGGGCACCCGACCAGTGGCCAATGGGACAGAGGGCAGAGCGGCAGAGGGCGCAGGCGGAAGCTACGCGGCCCGCCGCCGGAGGCGGAAGGCACGCAGGGACCACTGGGCAGATGCCAGCGGACCACGGACGGAGCACCACGGACGCGCGGACCACTGGGCAGATGCCAGCGGACCACGGACCACGGACGGACCACCGCAGGCACTGCACAGGCCAACGGAGCAGTAACGGACGCTGAACCTGTACCCTAGCAGCCACAAGGGGCGCAGCACGGAGGAAAAGAGAAAGAGGCGGAGCGGAGCACAGGAGGCCTAGAAAGCGGCGGACCCATTCACATGGCACCCTGTGCGGAGTCGTCAGTTGGTGGGGTTACGCGAAGCATTTAGAATTATGATGATGTCCCGCGCGAGAGCACGACTCGGGAGGTGAAGCACACAGTGCGAAGTATCAGGCGGGAGCCGCTGTTGCTGCAAACCGGGAGTCAACAACGCAATTCAGTGACACCACACGTTCCCTGATAAAAAACCGGGTGTGAGCCCCGGGAGGAACACTTGAATTGAAAAATGCAATGGTCGCCGGAAAGGGGATCAACAATAATCACTCGTTCAAAACGAGGATTCACCATCAGCGGCAGCAGCATCATACCAGTGCTGGTTCTGTTCCTCCTCCTCCTCCTCCTCCTCTCCTCCTCCTCCGCCTCCTCCTCCTCGTGCTGCTCACCTGCCGCTGACTGGAGTGGACGACCCTCCCGTCAGATGCGCCGCGGCCGTCGCGCTGGGCAATCCTCGGATTGGATTGAGGTAATCTCCAGTCTCCAGTCATCTTCCTCCTGTCACTGCTGCTGCTGTCTATGCCGATAGCGCAATCGCTGCCAATGCTAGCGCCGCAGGGCAGGACCGCTCGCCTGAACCTCGTCCAGCCCAGCGGAAGCGTACTGGGCGCGCCCCGCGCTCTCTCTGTCCATCCCTTAACCTCCATGGCTTTCCCACCTCTCCCTCTCCGTCTCTCCCTCTCCCTCCTTCTCTCGCTCTCTCTGAATCTCTTTCGACCTCCCTCTTTCTCTCTCTCTCTCTCTCTCTCTCTCTCTCCCCTTCTCTCGCTCTCCCTCTCTCTCTCCATCCCTGTCTGTCTGTATCGACCTCTCTCTCTCTCTCTCTCGTACCGTCCCTCCTTCCCTCCCCCTCTCTCTCTCTTTCTCTGTCTCTCGCTCTCTCTCTCTACCCCTCCCTCCCTCCCTCCCTCCCTCCCGCTCTCTCTCTCTCTCTCTCTCTGTCTCTCTATCTCTCTCTCTCTCTCTCTCTCTCTCTCTCTCTCTCTCTCTCTCTCTCTCTCTCTCTCTCTCTCTCTCTCTCTCTCTCTCTCTCTCTCTCTCTGTATATATGTATGTGCTTCTCTCTTGTGCTTTATAGATATGTATAGACGTACCTCTCCCGTTTTCTCTCTCTCTCTCTCTCTCTATCTCCCTCTGTTTCTCTCTCTCTCTCTCTCTCTCTCTCTCTCTCTCGCCGTATGCATCTGTATATATATACATATATATACACATATGTATGTGTATATGTATATATACATGTATCGATATCGAGGTCCCTCCCTCGCTGCCTCCCTCCCTCCCTCTCTAGCACGTATGGATCGACGTCCTTCGCTCTCCCTCTCTATATATATCTCTCTCTCTCTCTCTATCTCTCTCCTGCTATCCCTGTCGTGTTCTCTTTCTCTTGTCTCTCTCTCTCTCTCTCTCTTTCTCTCTCTCTCTCTCTCTCTCTCTCTCTCTCTCTCTCTCTCTCTCTCTCTCTCTCTCTCTCTCTCTCTCTCTCTCTCTCTCTCTCTATATATATAGAGATCACCCCCTCCCTCCGTCTCTCTATCTCTCTCTATGTCTGTCTCGATCTCTATTTCTTCACACCCTTTCTCTCTCTCTCTCTCTCTCTCTCTCTCTCTCTCTCTCTCGCTATATCTCTCTCTCTCTCTCTCGTTCGACATCGATCCATCTACATGTTTGTATACCTACACGTACTATATGTATGAACACCCCCTCCCGCGCGCCGCAGATCTACACACGTTGCCGACCCCACGCGACCCTCCCCCTCCCCCGAGCACCAGAGAAAGCGACAGGGTGCCTTGTCTGCTGGCCCGATGATCATCAGTGCTATCCTCGTCCTGCTCCTGCGATATATATAGTATGGGTCTCGTCTCCGCGCGCACCACGAAGCCCCTCTTCCTCTTGGAAGATGACAAAGAGGAAAGGAGCGGTTCAGGTGCGTGCGCTGGCCGTGGACGCAGAGGTTTCGGAGTGGGTTGGCTCGTGTGTCGGAGACTGAAGCTGTTGAGTGCTGGGTGTTGTGTAGTAGACGGAGGGCGTGGAGTAGAAGGTTAGTTGAAAGTTCAGCTCGGGGAGGGAGCTTGTTGGGTTTTGAGCGTTGCGTTGGAAACGGCGGCTGTTGAGCATTGGGTGTTGTGTTGTAGACGGAGGGGATGGAGTATAATGTGATGTTCAAGTTCACCTTGGGGAGGAGCCTGTTGAGTAGCTGGTGTTGAGTTGGATACGAAAGCTGGATACGTAGTGGGTGTTGTGTTGTAGACGGTGGGAGTGGAGTAGAAGGCAGTTATGATGTTCAGTTTGGGGAGGGAGTCTCTTGAATACTGGCTGTTGTGTTGGAGACGGAGACTCTTGAACACTGTCGTGGAAGCAGTGCCCAAACCAAGGATGCCACAATTTCGGGCTTCCAATTTTCAGGATATGAGCAATTGTCCAGTTCGGGGCCGCTTAGGCCGTCTTGGACACTGTTGAAACTCCAAGTGTGAATACGCTGATAATGCACGTTCCCCCTAAGGAATGAAACAGCTTGGCCTCCCCCTAAGGAATGAAACAGCTTGGCCTCCTGGTGCCCTCTCGAGGCGAATCCCGGGGCCTTCGTAGGGCGTCTTCGGAGCCGTTTGAGTTGAGGATTTCGGGCATGCGTAAGGAGGCCATGTTGCTTTCATGGGTTTTGATGGCCCCGGCGACGTCTAGTTTTGATGGCATGTTTTTCGGGCCGCCCAGGTACCGAGAAAACCCTGATGGGCTCGATTTTGGGACACACGAGGGCCGAAACAACTTGATCATGCCACTGTTTGGGGCCCCGTGCGCGACGACGCTTTCAGATCGTTTCTGATGCCCTGACCTCTTGGGAGATCCACGTCGAGACCGACGCAGCACCAAAATGGGCACTGCGTTCACGCATGGGCTCGCGCAAACCAGATCACATCCAGAAACCGCCTTTGCCTACGTGACCCGAGCTTCAACTGACAATTGCGCGTGGGAGGCGAGTCGGACAAGGAAGAGGGGGAGAGGGAGGGAGGGATATGCACGCAGGAGGAGAAGGTAAGGGAGGATATAGTGAAAGGGCGAATGCGAGAGAGCGAGAGGGAGAGGAGGAGGAGAGGAACATAAAGTAGCGAGGCGGAAGAGTAGGAGGGGAAATATGGTTAGATGACAGATGACCGAATGGAGATGCATGATACGTTGTAGGATGAATGATACAGATGGATGCGATGATGATTGTTCGTGGCCTGCCCTGGCGGCAGGGTGGCTTCTGCCGCGGGCCAGGGTCGGCCTGGACTGTTTTCAGGCAGCCTTGGTCCCCACCGCCTTCTCGTAGATCTGGGCCAGCAGCTTGGCGGCGGACACTCCGCGGTCGGCGACCGCGCCCAACTCCCGAGCGACGGCGTCGCGGCGCTCATCTGGCTTCTTGCGCATCAGCTGCATCAGCGCCGCCTCGCTGATCGTGGTGCTTGCCTCCGCGACCGTCGCTTTGAAGGGCTCCGTCAGGTCGTTCACGCGGTCCATGACGTTGAACTTCCGGCCATGCTTGCGAGCCTCGTCGGTCGCACACTTGTAGTCGCCCAGCGCCTTGTTCAGCAGCTTGCCGTTCTTGCCCTTGAAGAGGGTGGCCTTCGCGTGGGTGTGCACCTCGTCGTAGCTGTCGCCGTCGGTCAGACCGTCCTTCCAGCTCGTGCCGTCGTCCATGCCGCCGCGCAGCCGCGCGATCAACTCCTGGATCTTCTTGACGTCGGTCTCGATGGCGCCACCGATCTCGTCGACAAACGCCGAGATCGCACCCCGAGCGCCCTGCACCTGGCGAGCGCACAAGTCGTTGATCTCAGCGACCGTTGGCACGCCATCGACGAGCCCGATCTCTTCGCAATCTGGCGGTGGCGTGTCCAGTTGCTTCAGGCTCGCGCTCAAGACAGACCATCGCTCGCGGCCCCGCTCCCCAGACGCCACCTGCTGGCCGACGTCGCCAATGTCCGTCAGGGAGAGCATATTCGCGGCCACGTTGCAGCACAGCTTGTAGCGGGCAAGGAGCTTCGACGTGGTGTTCAGCATTGCGGTGCGGGAGTCGGAGTGCACGACGCTGGCGCAGAGCATCGCTGTCTCGACTTGCTGCGAGATCTTGGCGGCGTCCTCAGCGTCGAGGGCCTCAGGGGGGGCGGCCATGATCAGGTTTGCCAGGGCAACCAAACAATCCTCGAATAGCGTCGCGTTGGACTCGCCACCGAACACCTCTCCATTCAAGTCGCTCACTCGCCACCGAACACCTCTCCATTCAAGTCGCTCAGCGCCGTCTTCAGCTCGAACATGCCGCGAATCTCGACGTCACCTTCCTCCTGGTGGGGGGGGGGGGGGGAGGGGGGGGGGGGGGGGGGGGGGGGGGGGGGGTGGGGGGGCGGCCTGGGGTGCCCGAAAGAAGCACAAGTTACGCATGTCGCCTCGACCCTCTTCCCCCTCCCCCTCCTCATCCCCACCCCTTTTCCCCGTTCTCCCCCTCCTCCCCCCCCCCCCCCCCCCCCCCCCATCCCTCATCCTTATCTCCCTCCTCCTCATCTCACCTCCGTCCCCCCCCCCCCCCCCCCCCCCCCCCCCCCCCATTTCCCTCACCCGCGATTCGTGTCCCTCCTCCGCCACATCCTCCTCCTCATGCGCACCGTCCCTAAGGGCGCGCTTAAGTCGACCCCGAGACGAAACCATTTGGGCGGGGGCTCCAGACCATCAGGCAGAGCGGCCAGGGGACCACGCCATAGGGGCCCAACCGTTGGCCCCATGGGGCGGGGTAGGGTGGCGGGCCGCGGGGCACCCATTGATGCCCCGCCTCCGTGGTGCTGCAACCCCCCATGCGGTCCAGGAGCGAGTCGCGCTTCTTCTCGACGCCGACCTTCGTTTGGGCCAGCTCCATGGACTCCTCGGCTGCCGTCAATGCAGCCACCTGCAGGACGCCGCTCGATTTCTTCACCTTGGCGGCCGAAATCAGGTTGGACATGACCTCGCGGATCTGCCCGACACTCTCGTACGTGAACGTGGGCGCTGCGTCGGCAGACGTGGCATTGACAACCCACTGGGCGAAGGCCTTCTCCAGGTCGGCTATAGCGCCAGTGCGGCTCCGATCGATCCACCCCTTAAGGCGGCTTGATGCACTGACCATTGCTGCAAGGTCGCTCCCGACGCTCACCACGGCCAGAGCTGCGACTATGCCGGGCCCTACCTGGAGGTCGCTGAGGGCGTGGTCAAGGTATTCGGTGGTCAAGCGAGCCCAGTGGGAATTGGACATCAAGCTGTCGCGGAAAAGTGACCAATCCTTGCTGAACGTGCCGTTCAACATCTTCCTGACGTTGGCTCTATCAGTCACCTGATCAACTGCGTTGGGGCGTGTGTCCGATATCACCAGCAGGGCCTCAGCAGCAACATGCAGCGCCGTAGCGACACTGACCCACTCGATGTGCTTTTCTTTCTCGTCTAAGACAATGCCGCTCTCCGTCCGCAACTCTTCCGCGACCTCCCTCACGAGATTGACCGACGCCTCACCTTTGGCAGCCACCTCTGCCAGGAACGCGTTGGGGAAGGTCTCCCTGCACGCAACGACCTTACCAAGGTTGCTCATGCGCAGGAAGCTGATCATTGGGCGCTTGAGCTGGAAGGTGGTTGCGGAGTCGGTATCCGCAGGCGCCCACGGCAAGATCGCCCTGACAACATCGTCGCCAGAGTCAGCCTCCCCCACGATTTCGCAGATCAGTTGGTCCAAAAAGCTGCTGGAGTCCAGCACGTCGTCATTTCCAATGATCTCGATCTGCTCCGCCCTCTGTTTGGCAGTCATCGTGGCAATGCCCTTCTGGAGAGCGATCGCCGCGTCAACGTTGGCTAAGTGCTTGACCCTGTTGATCTCGACTCCGCGACCCTGGGGGGTGAAGCGGCGCAGGGCGCAGACGCGGTCGCCCATCTTGTAACCATCCAGTATCTGCGAGACCCGGTTGTCGTGGATGAGCTCGCCCAGGCGCAACTTATCGGCATGGGCCGCGGGGGAGACAACTAACTGACCACCGCCTCGGCGACCCACGCTTACGGCACTGGCTGCACCGCCGTGGCCTGACGGGACACCCCGCGATGCACCTCTCCGCGGGGCGCGCTGGCATGGCGCGCGGCTGGGAGTGGCAGTTGGGGCAGCGCTGGCGGCTGGCCCCGCTTTCGAGGCCACCTCCGCGGCCGCGCCCTGCTCGTCGCTGCTGTCCCCGTCGGCGTGGCTGTCCGCGACGTCAGACCCGCAGGCCGCCACCGCACCGCCAGCGGCCCCGTCGCCCAGCGCCCCCGTGGCACCGACAGCGGGCGGCACCACCTCGAGGATTCCAGCTCCCCCCCCCCCCCCCCCCCCTCGCATCGCCCGCGCGAGCCCCCGCCCGAGCGACCTCGCAACTCGATCTATCCAGGCCCGACCCACTCCCACACCAGAAACGTCGGAGCTCAAACAGAAACGTCTGCCCCGCCAGACGCGCCCGCCCGCGCAGGCAGCGCGCACAAACAAAATCAATGGCGGAGCTCACGCATCTGAATGTCGCCAACGCGCGGGGGGGGGGGGGGGGCGTCGCATGACGCGACGTTGCACGCCACTGGCCCCCGAACCACGCCCTGGACAACGCATGACAAGCCCTTCGCCCCTAGCTTCGGGGGGACGGGGTGGGGAAAACACGGGGCGGGGCGCCGAGAGCGTTCGAAGGGGGCTCGCGCGAGACAGAGGGTGGGGCCGCCGAGACCCTCGGACACCTCACCCGCACTGCTGCCACGAGGCAATCCGCCAGCACCCCGCGCAGATTTGGCCCCCCGCAACTGGTTCACCAACGACTCGACGCCGGGCGGCTTGACGTGGCCGCGGAGCGGGACGGGCAACAGCTTGGTGACCTCGGCCAGCGCTTTCTTCATCTCCACTTGGGCTTGCGCGTCTGTGAGCGCTGCCCTCCGCGGCAGCGTGCACGCGACCTTCTGGCACTTCACCGTCGTGAAAGTCTGCACCTCCACGGGTGGCCTCTCGGGGTGCGCGACGCAGATGGTCCTCAGCTTCTGCTTCGTCAGCGGCGCCAAGATCCTCTGGGTCAGGATGTCGGCCTCCCCCACGGTGACACCGCCGCCAGCCTGTTGTTCTAGCTGCTCGGGCTTGATGCACACATAGTTCCCGATCGTAGTGTAGCCCTGCTCGACGACGATGTTGACCTCCTCCTGCTCGAAACTGGCCTTCTCTGGATCCTTCGAAATTTCCTTCGCGCTCTCGACCCGCTTCTTGTACTTGGCGTCGCCCTTCTGCTTGGCGCAATGCTTGGTCCATGTAGTCTCATTGCTGAAGGCTCTCTGGAATGGGTCCCAACACGACGTGCACCCAGACCCAACTCGCCTAACCTCACCAGCATCATTCGGGGCCTCGGGCCACTGCACGTTCGGGTCGCAGCGCTTCGCCCCGCACGAGCCGCAACTGACCTTGTCGGATGTGTCAAGCTTCGCTCTCCGTCGCGGCTGGGCGGCCACCTGCTCGCCACCTGAGCCCATGCCATCATCTTCATGCTCCTGCGCCGCAGCGGCAGCTGCCGACCTCTTGCGAGCACCCATGGCAACCGTAGCAAGCGTGGCCCGTCAAGCTCGAGCGCACAGGATGCGCTGGCTCAGCGCAAAAGCGCTGATGAAAGCTGAAAGTTTGAGCCAACATGCAACGGGGTGTCACCACATTGGCAGTCCTGTGCTGGGCCAACCCGCTCAAACAAGGCAGCAGCGGTCGCCAGGAGCCGCAGGCGCCATCACAGACCCCTGATCGCATGCGACGCAATGCAATGCAATGCAAGAGCCGCGCCATACAACGGCGCACAGTTCGGGAAGACTAGCGATACGCCCACCGCAACGCAATGCTGCGATGTACAACGCCACGCATCACGACACTGTGCGATGCTATGCGGCGCTATGCCGAGGGATGCCACGCGCTACCCATTGGCTATGCCACGCCAGGCTATCCCAGCGCAACGCGCTGCAATACAATGTTGCGCCCCCGCACCCATGCACTGGTGTATCACCCCTGCTGCGTTGCTAATCGAGAGTTTGCTGACGAGCACGCCGTTTGGCGGGCATAAGGAGGGGGCGGCGGCAAACCCCACAGACAAAACGTTCGGTTACACTGTGGTCCCTTCCCAGGGTGAAAAACGGAACACAGAAACGATGGCGTTCTATGAGACGGGGCATGCACCAGTTGCCGTTCATTTTGCAACCACGCTGTCCGAGACGACGGCGGCAAACGAAAGGTCCATGCGCAATGGGGCCCTACAATCGCACCCAGTCTACTGGTCCTCGAAGAGCGCCCTAAGCTAGCTGCTGCTAGCTGCTGGCAACTGCCCTGGCTACCTTGCGGGGCCCTACGCAGCTCTCAATCTGATGTCGAAGAACACTCAGCAATCTCAACCTGGTCATCCGCGGAGCTCGGTTCATCGCCACCGCCGTCGGCGTGTCCCGCAGCCCGCCCGCTAGCATCACCGACGAGGGCGTTCCCGAGATCAAGGAGCTCCCCCCCCCCCCAACCTCAGAAGCATTGTCCTCGCCCAGGCCAACTCCGCCTCTAGCACCGCGATGCGGTTGACTGCCTCCCCCGCCCATCCCACCTTTCCCACCGCCCTCGCAGACCATCCCCCCTCCACTCCCACACTCCGTGATCCTCCCCCGTCCCGCCCTCCCCCTCCCCCCCGTGCGATTTACCATGCAGGCGCCTAACCCTATCGATATTGCCCCCCCCCCCCCCCACACCCACCCCACCCCCCACCCACCCACCCACACCACCCAACCCACCCCCCCCCCCACCCCCCACTCCCCTGCGACAACGCCCCCCCCCCCCCCCAGATCCTGGGCCAACGTCGGGCGTGTGCCGCCAGATCCTGACGAGCCGCGCGGCGCGCCTAGCTCGTGCCCACGCCCTGCGAGTTGTTCAGCTGCGTTGGGTTGCGCCGAGGCGCTGGGAACGACGACGGCGGGCGCCGTCGGCGGGCGCCGTCGGCAGGGCGGGCGCCGTGGCGAGCGGGACCGACGCCGGTGAACACGCGCGCCCGAGTCGGGCGCATCCGAACTGATTGCAATCGCCGCCCCGAGCTCGAGCGAGCGTTCGGCAGCGCCCCCCGATCGTGGGCTCGGCGACGCACCTCCTCCCCCGCGCTTCCCGACGCCCGATCGGGAGGCGCCGCGTAACGCCAGCTCGATTAGACGAAAAGCACTCCAAACGTACTCGGGGCCGGCCGAAATCGGACGTCGCCAGTGCTGAAACCGCTGCGGTCACACCCAATCCTTCTTATTCCACGCGGGCGGCTGGAACTGCTCACACCGCCAATTACAAGTTGCGAGGGTCCGGAGAGCCCGAGGGCAGCGGCCCGAGGGATACATTTCGGGGCCAAGAGGCCCCTGGGAGACATCCCCCCGCCTCGCTATCCCCCATCCCCCTCAATATCATGATCCCCCCGATCTCTTGCCCCAATGCGTGCCCCGATCGGCTTCCGCGACAGGACAGCCAGGGGAACGAATGGCACGATGGCTCGGTCAAGTTGCGATCCAACATTTGGCCATATAAGCGCTTCTGAGAGGTGACCTGGGGTGGGGGGGGGAAACTCACCCACATCCGCCCCGATGCTGAAGCGAATGTTGAAACTGCAACCACCCCTTCCTTCCTTCCACACCCTAAGACGGAATGGCTTCATACCCTGCACGCTTGCTCAGGCCTTGTCCCCATATGGCGAGCGTGAGGCTCGGGGGAGGAGGAAGGCGATCAGGACGATGATGGGGGAGGAGAAGGGGGGAGACGAGCTGAGGGAGATAACGGATGGGTAGGAGGAAGGGGAGGGGGAGGAGGCGGACGAGGAGGAGGAGGACATTAAGCAGCTTTACCAAACACCCCGAGAGGTCCGCGGAGGGCACCGAGACGACGCAAGACATCCATCCCCATCGGGGGGGGCGATCGGCTGATGAGGGCGGGGAATGGTGGGGTGAGGGGCTGGGCCAAATCCAATTCGCCATTGTCTGACGGAAGCCACACGGCGTGATCACAAACGCCGAGCATGCAGCACGATATCCATCGCGCTGGACGGTGAAGTGCAGAATGCCGAGCGCCCCTCGGGCTCGATGGCATGCAGGCGACTCCATGTTGATCTGCGCCTTCGCGCAGATCGAATCATACAGCTGACGAGCGATGCTGGCAGCTGCGCTGGGGGGGGCTGCGTGCAAACAAACTCGTGCACGAATAAAGTCATTGACTGGGTCTGGCAGCTGCACGCAAGCATTGGGCATTAACCTTAAACGGAGGAGCCAACGCTGCACTCACACTGACTAGGCACCTGGCGGCAAAGAACGTAAAACCTGGTTGGCTAACTGAAGCACCTGGGAACTTAACGCGTCAATGCCTCTGTCGGCAGGCGGGTCGCATTCGGCCATGGGGGGCGAAACGCGTTGCTGGCGAGTCGCGGGTGTGTCCCCGCTGCTGGACGGCCGCACTCGGACCGCTCGCATTTGATGAATTGGCATTGGGCTTGGCAGCAGCATCGTGCCAGGACCGCATCGCACTCCCAGCGGCCGCCTGACCAATATCACCAGCATGTGGGGGCGGACTGCCCTCGACGGGGATTGGCCCGACGTCCCCGCTAGCTTGAAAATCCCGCGCCGAGGCGCTCGGCAGGGCTACCCTCGCTACTTTGGCAAGGCCAGGGCCGTCGCCCAAATCGCCAGGGCCCCCTACATAGGCGGAAGAGGACGATGCAGTGGGCAGCGCCGTTGGTGGGTGCGATCGCTTCGGAGCGTCGCCCACCTGCTCATCCGAATCCTCGACGTCCGTCGGCACGGTCTCTGCTTGCTTCGGCCCCCAGCCTCCAGCCTCAAGCCTCCACTGCGACTCAACGACGCGCTCGTCATCGCAGGCCTGATGCACGTACCCTGCAGCAGAATCCTCAAGCTGAACGCCGCCTGGTGGACTCGAGTTGGGCCGCTGCGCCTCGTCGTGATCACCTTGGCCAAGACGCATGGGTGATGGCTCGCGCAGCGGGGATAACTGATCGCTCTGCCTCTGCCCCTCATCCTCTGCATCGCGGGGCTTGCTACCTACGACCGTCACCGTCACCATCTCCATGGTGAACTCAGCGATGTAATCATCTGGAAGCTCGGGGATGGTCACGAGCAGGTGAGATTAACCAGAGTGCTCCATCGTCGCTGGTGACATCGGGGCTGGCGGCATGACCTCTGGGTAGGAAACTATAGTATCACGGACACAAATACTCTAGGATATACTTGGGACCAAACGGCTATCAAGATACGCTGTGCATTATGGCCACGGCTAGTGCGATAGACGTTTTGAGTGCCCAGTGTTGGTTGCAACGTTGCTGTGCGAATACATGCGGGTGCGTTGGTGTGGTCGCGTAGAAATGACGCGCGTGCGTTGCAGCAGTGATATCGCGGGGCAAGCTCTCATGCTACTGTGTTGGATACCAGGGGCCCGAACACAATGTACATAGTACTAGAAGGTGATTGCCGACCAACTGTCGCCACCAACGTCCCCACAAGTTTGGCCGTCGCACTGGGACCCTCGTGGTGGTTCGGGGGAGGGGCGAGGGCACGCGGGAAGCAGGTCCGTTGACAACGCGACTATCGGACGCAGACCTCGGACCACCCCAGGGCGACAGAGAGCCGTTCAACCGATTGTCACAAGAGACCGCCCCAATGACGAATAATCCGCTGGCCCGAAGGGGGGCCCAGGAGGCGAGCGGGCCCAATCGCTTCACATTGCCAGTAGCGATTTCTGCACAGCCTTTCTTTCAACCCCCTCCCCCGCCACCCACCTGCCCACTGGACCTGGGCAGGTCATCACCAAGCCAAGCTTGCAATCCTGCACACTTCTGCTGCAAACAACGCAATCCTAGTGTTGGCGAGCAAAGTCACGAAGATTACGGCAACCCCTTCTGCTGGCAGCTTACAAAAAAAACAATGTTTCGCATTTGCACGCGGTCCAATTGGCACCCAGAACCCGCCCAAGTGGCGCCGCCCAACACACCCCAGCGTCATGCCTTACGCAGCCCAACCACATGGCCCCAATAACACAACGCAGCAGCTACGGCACCAGCCATATGGCACCAACCGTCGTGGCCAAGGGCGTTGGGTCTGAAGTCGGGGGGGGGGGGGGGGGGGGGCATGCAACGAGTCTACCGAATGTCTACGATCTGGCGTCAAGGGCGCAGAACGCCAGACACAACATCTAAGGTCTAGGACCCTGAGCTTTGGATCTGAAGTCCAAGGTCCAGGGCATAGGGTCTCGGGCCTCGGGCGTCGTGCAATGGGTATTGGGTCTAGGGTGTAGGGCCCCGTATTCGATGTGACAGCTAAGAGATAGTCGATGTGTCTCAGGGCCCAGGTATGCGGTCTACGGCCGAAGGCCCCTGGACCTGCGACCAGTGATCGATGGTCAAGGCGGCAACGGCCTCGGGGTTCGGATCTATAATGCAATGCCTGGCGTCTAAGGCCTGGGGGGCACAAGTACCCAACATGCGTTTGTACTGTCGGGCACCCATCTTTCAAAGTGCATACTACAATTTCTATGAAAGAGT